TATAGTTTTAATTTAAAAATACTATTCTTTTTATTATATTTAATTATTTTATTTTGATTTTCACATAAAATTTAATTTGATTTATTTATATAATAAATAAATAATAATTAAAATTTTTTATTTAAATAAAAATATTCAATAAATATTATATAAAAAATAAAATTATTATTATTTATATATAAAATTATTTAATTAAATTTTATATAAAAATCAATAACTAGAGCATCTATATACGACAAAAGTGAGTATTGTAAATGCCCTTTTCAAAAAGAGATTGCTTCAGTGACCCTACGGAAAGTGGAGCACAACTGGCGGTTTAGAGCCCACCTTCCTTGGAGGCCCACAATTACCCTTTGATCTTTGAATCAGAATCTGTTTCTTTTATACAAAGCCCACAACTTGCTCCAACCTAAGGATGACAACATGTGCCCAAGGGGTGGGGACATCCTCCCCATCCTCATCTCTGTCAATGGTAGGTATGGAATCCCCATAAGGACTTTTAGTGAAGGATAAAAAATAACTTCTATTTTCATACTCGCAATAAATGATAAGTTCTTATGGGTATTTGGAATCTCTGTCAAATAAAATTATCATCTACTCTACTACTTGTTAATCAAAAGTTTTTGCTACTTGTTAATCAAAATTAAGCTCAAATTTATTGAAGTACTCTAAATCATAAGCACTAAAGCACAAAGAAGAAAAATAGGTGTGCTGCGAGAGTGAGGAGAGGAGTACTTGCTAACCTGGAGTTGGAGAGCTTGAAGAGAATTAGAGGCAGAGTTGCAAATGAGGAATTTGTGAGCTATGATTCAGAGGACCTACTGTCGCATGAGGTAAAGAGGACGACATGAACCTTAGAGCTGGAGGTGAGCCATGAGCCATGAGTGGAGGCAACTCAGGCAAGCAACCAACCATTGTCGATTTCAATGGTAATAATGAGGGATGCCAAGAATGAGATGAGTTGCCAACAGCTGGTTGAGAGATTGGAAAAGAGCTGTCCAGTCGAGTGTAAGTGAGAGATGGGAGAAGCTCAGCGTTTGCAGTGGTTACACAATGGGTAATGATGGTGAAAACTTGAAAGGAATCACAAATGAGGATTGAGGAACAGAAACAGAGTTACAGCACAAAAAAGATTGGAGAGGAAGAATCACAATTTTGAAATCTTTGGATAGTCCTTCTAAGGTTACCAATGCAAATTGGGCTGGGCAATTAGGCTTAGGAAGACTAGATTGACAAAAAGAATGGGCTAGACTTGACAATTGGGTTTGGGAAAATTGAAAAAAAGAATGAGTTGTGAAATTTAGGTTGTATTGGTATTGGATTAGCTAATTAGGTTGGGTAAGTAAAAATTAATTGTTAATATATTTAAAATATATATATAAATAATTTTTTTTTATTGTATATGGATCCTCACGATTTCCTATGAGACAGAGGAAATTCCCAACAAAATTTCACTAGGAAAAAAATGCCTCCATCCTCATGTCACGGGAAGAAATATTTTTAGAATCTCCATCTCCATGGCGGGGATCTCCACAAAACTTTGCGGGTCACAGAGGATATTCCCATCCCTATTCAAATCCAACTTAATAGTTAATAGTTAATACAACAACCTATGCCCCTGATGTCTAATGTGATATAATACATTACACCGATTGTTTTCAAAAATTTAAATAATCTACATTTTGCTTTCATGATAAATAAGAGAAGAAACTAATTAAATATTTAAAACTCATAGTTTCAAATATTTTTTCTTTTATACTTAAATTTTAGAAAACAACCTTAAAATTTTTGTGTTACTTTTTACTTAATTTAGATTTATGTATCTAAGATTTAAATGTCAATCCTTATCAGAGAAACAGTTCTCTATTTTTCATCATGGGTACATAATGTTTGAATTTTTTTTTAAAGTAACTTTATTCCTTATCCCTTTCTATCTCCTCTTTTCTAGATTTTGGTTGGTTGAACTATAGCAGCTGATTGACCCTACTTTTGTGTTTTTTTTTTTTTTTTTTTTTTTTTTTTTGGAGTATCAAAAGAGTTCCACATTGTAAAATTCTTTTTCTTCTACAATTTGTTGAACTTGATATTGGTTTTAATCCTCAAGCTTTTGGAGGAAAAATTCTTTTATGCAATGGGATACCGCATTAGCAGTATTCTTGTTCAATAATGTACATAGCAACATGATAACATATGTGATCTACACTTGTAATTAAAAAAAGTTAATTTAATTACAAATGAAAACTACATATATTAATGTATTGCTGCACTAGTAGACGAAAATATTGCTTTCATAATATTCTTATTATATGAAAGAATTTCTCAAGGAGGGGCCAAACCCCTCTGCACTTTTGTGATGAGAATCCCATAAGAGGTGGTGTTTCAATTTTCAAACACTACTGAACCCTTCCCTGCCCTTTATTCCTCCCATCCCCTTACCCTTAACCAAACAAATATGTAGCTGCCTACTTTTTTCTAAAATAAAGAATTGATATTGATTGTTTTTTTTTGTTTAATGTATATAAATAATGTTATTTTGCAATTTGTGCCATACAAATTGCAAAATAATTAACTATTAATAGAGGAATGTTTCCTCAATATCAAAGAGAATGCCTCTCCCATTAAAGATTAAATAAAGTGTAATTTATAGTGACTTTTTTTCATCATTTTTTAGTATAAAAATGTTGAAATTTGCAGAAGATGCGAAAAGAAAGGTAAGGTGTAAGCTTTCCTTTTTCAAAAAGACATGCAAAGGAAAAACCAGCCATGAATAAGGAATTTTTCTCAGAGGAAAACCCTAGAAGAATCCCGATCTGCTCATCCATAAGGATCCCACACAACATTTGATCATACCTTTGAGAAGAAATTCATAGAATCCACCCATTTTATGTCTTAATTTAAGGAATGTAATGGTTCTTTCAATTGAAAACGATAATACAATCAATCACTCCACAGTCAATTTAATTAATGTCGTTTAACATGAGTTTTTGTACAAGAGAAGTCTAGAAGTACATGTGTATTACAGTCACAGATTACT